TATAATGGACATAACATTAAGAGGTTTTCAGGGAAATAAGAACATCGTAGAAACATATTTAAACTCACAATCAGGAGACGAGACGAGGAAAGATGAACCTGCAGGGCATAATGAAGACAAGAGAAAAGAGGAAAAAAAACACCATGTAACCTAATAAACAAATTCACGCGAATGGATGGCAGAATAATGACAGAAAACAATGGCAAGAGAACAAAAGTTACTTTGAACGACAAAAGAGAGGAAATCGTGGAGATCCATGATCGTCTACGTCTTGAAGGATTAGCTTGGGCGATTATGTCTTGCGATTCTTGAGAGATTAGGCAGAAGATTTTCCCGCAGTATGGTGCAGTTTCTTTCTGCGGTAAACTGGTTGCCAATCAAGGTTATCGAATCGTTATCTGTCCTGCAATTAAACCCATATCATGGTGGTGGTGAAGTGATGATTTCCGAGCTTTTCCAAGGTTATTTGGGCGGAAGTGAATGTAACTAACCTGACAGCAATTCGAATTTTCATGACCGGTCGATATGCACTAAACCAGAATATCCATGGGTCATACGTCACACACAAGATGTTTCATAAGCTGGGCTTATTCTGAGAAAACATTGAATAAACTAGATTTGATAAATTCCGATCCAAAGATCTACTTGAACTGTAACGTTCTCATATTTTCAATGTTTATATACGATCGATTTTCTTTTACTACGTCTTTAATTTCCCACATTTTCCTCACCTTTTTTTTTCGCCTCATTTTCTTCCTTCTTCGAAACTTCCCAAGGCTTTTATTTTCTTTTCTAGGGTGAAATATTCCCTTATTTCCTTCTTACAACGTCATCAAATCCAAAGATTTCCGATTACTTCTTTTCTCAACTTTTTTTTGAAGATTTATTTTATCAGCACCATTTTCTTTCTTCTTCGCAACATTTCTCTGGGGGTTTTACTTTCATTTCTAGGGTCGAATCTTGCTTCTTTTTTTCTTCTTATTGCGTGTTGAATTCCAAACGTTTTTCAATTACTTTCTTTTCTCAATTTCTTTTTGACGATTTTTTTTTACTTATTCGGATCATTTTCTTCCTTCTTCGCAATATTTCCCTTGGATTTTACTGTCTAGTCTACGCTTGAATCTTCCTTTTTTTTTTTAATTACTTCTTCCTACGTCTTGAATTCCCCACATTTTCGATTACTTTCTTTTCTAACCCTATTTTTGGCGATTTTTTATTTATCAGCACCATTTTCTTCCGTCTTCGTAACATTTCCCTAGGATTTTCTTTTCTTTTCTAAGGTTGAATCTTCCTTTTTTTCCTTCTTACTACGTCTTGAATTCCCCACATTTCCGATTACTTTCTTTTCTCAATTTCTTTTTGACGATTTTTTTTTATAAGCACCATTTTCTTTCTTCTTCGCAACATTTCCTTACGATTTTACTTTCTTTATTTTGCGACTTTTTTTCCTTCTTACTACGTCTTGAATTCGTCACATTTCCGATTACTTTCTTTTCTCAATTTCTTTTTGACGATTTTTTTTTATTTATCCGCATCATTTTTTTCCTTCATCGCAACATTTCCCTGGACTTTTACTTTCATTTCTACGCTTGTATCTTCATTATTTTCCTTCTTCCTATGTCTTGAATTCCCCAAATTTCCGATTAATTTCTTTTCTCGCCCTCTTTTTGGAGATGTTTTCTTCGTCAGCATCATTTTCTTCCATCTTCGTGACATTTCCCTGGGCCTTTTCTTTCTTTTCCAGGGTTGAATCTTCTTTTTTTTTCTTTTTACTACATCTTGAATTCTCCACATTTCCGATTAATTTCTTTTCTCACCTTATTATTTGGGGAAGTTCCATCTAATCTGCATCTTTTTCTTCCTTCTTCATAACATATCCCTGGGATTTTTCTTCTTATTCTAGGGTCAAATCTTCCTTTTTTCCCCCTTACTACGTCTTAAATTCCCCATATATAAGATTAATTTCTTTTCTCACCTTTTTTGGCGATATTTTATACATAGGCATTATTTTCTTCCTTCTTCGCAACATTTACCTTGGATTTTACAGTCTATTCTACTCTTGAATCTTCCTTTTTTTTAATACTTCCTACGTCCCCATATTACCGATTACTTTTTTTCTAACCCTATTTTTGGCGATATTTGTTTTTATCAACACCATTTTCTTCCGTCTTCGTAACATTTCCATGGGCTTTTCCTTTCTATTCCAGGGTCGAATCTTCTTTTTCTGTTTCTTTTTTTTTTTTTTTTTAACTTTTTCCGACATCTTGAATTCTCCACATTTCCGATTACTTTCTTTCCTCACATTCTTTTTTGGCGAGTTTTCGTATCTTCATCTTTTTCTTCCTTCTTCGCAACTTTTCCCTGGGCTTTTACTTTCTTTTCTCCGCTTGAATATCCCTTCTTTTTTTTTTCCTTCTTCCTACTTCTTCATTTCCCCACAATTCCAATTACTTTCTTTTCTCACCCTCTTTTTTTCGCGATTTTTATTTTTCAGCATTATTTTCTTCTTTCTTCGCAATTTTCCTTGAGCACATACTTTCTTTTCTACGCTTGAATCTTGTTTTTTTTTTTTGGGGGGGGTCCATTTTTCCTACGTCTTGAATTCACCAATCTTCTAGAACATTTCCCGGGAACAAAACGTCTGCCTTCTTACTGATAAAGAATTGAGTAAGTACACAAAGTTGGAAAGAGGCATCAGACAAAGTCGTGGTTTCTTATTGGATTTATTCAGCCTATACAACGAGCTGATCATTAGAAAACTAGAAGTTCTATCAGGATTTGTTATTGTTGGGCACAATTTTAACAACATAAAATATTTTGATGTTAAGCGCAAGAAGAAATCTTCAGGAACTCATAGACAAGGTAGTAAAGGAAAGGAGGAAGAATGGACTAAGCATCTTTAATAAGATATAATACATGGTAGTAAGCACGAATAACAGCCTAATAAAGCAAACAACAAATTGAAGACGTTATAAAGGAAATTATACAGAAATTTAGCTATCTAGGAAATGTGATAACAGACGATGGAAAATGTGACACCGAAATCCGAATGCACATTAGAATAACGAAAAATGCCTTTCAAAAACTAAGCAAAGTATTAAGAAACAGGAGAATTTTGTTAAAAATCAAAAAAGAATAAAAGAAAAAATGCTGAACTTCTTCAATCTTTATATATGACAGTGAATGCTGGACGATTCCTTTAAATATGGTTCTTCGGGAATATGATAAGAATATCATGAACGAAATATGAGCGGGAAGGAAGTTTGAAGAAAATTGGAAACAAATAAGATATTAGGTTGGTGCAAAAATAATGTCGTTTTCTCTTTTGAAGTTGAAAGTCAAAAAACGACATTATTTTTGCACCAACCTAATACTTAAAATCACAAAGAAATAAGACAAAAATATAGAACATTCTGAAGTCAGAAACGAAATAGCAAATTATGAAGAGCGTTGAACTTGCCATCGTAACTAAATATCAAAAGGCCATCTGACATTGAACATAAAAGTCTCAAAACACGCCTAACATCATTCGGAGTTGTGGTGTAGTGGGCATTCAGTTAGTTATGTCTTATTGTCATCTCGTGGTCAGTAGTTCAATCCTTGCATCTGGTAGTGACACATCAATTCAGCAGGAATAACCGATAGCACAGGGAGAAAATACCATAATAATGAACTGATATCCCATATCAGTCAATCAAAGGACACCTGATGATAAACAGAGGGTACTTGGTTGAAACGTTGTGTCTATATAGTAACATCTGTATCAACTAAAATGAGGATAATAGTTCGAAATAATACAAGCACATTCACAAATAGATGGTTGAAATATCTGGAGCACCTAATGAGAAAAGAGGGTTTGACGAATTAGACACTCACATGGCTAACTGAATGAAGAGGGAGGCATAGAGTAAACTGCCTAAAAGATTTTGTAGATGGATGGCAGAAGGGGTGGGAAGGATAGCAAGTTGCGGAGAGCCATGATCGACTACGCCCTAAAGGGAGACATCAAATAAACAAAGATTTCCTTAAATATTTGGAAATTATTTCATAAGCCTATGATATCACAAAGCAGTCAAATGAATGTTTTTTTTTAATTACAATTGATTTGTTTCTCAGATTGAGGAATCGGAGAGCCGAGTTCGAATTCCAGTCGAATCCATTACGTTCGCTTACGTGCTAATGCCCTTAGGAAAGGTATGAGTCCTCTTCTTCCCCCCCCCAGCTATGGGTAAATAGCAGGACAGCCCGGTTTCTATAGCCTTTGATGGTAACTGCTCTACCACAAAAAATGGCAACCTACTGCAGGAAAATATCTGCTGCGTCAGTCATGTATCGAGCGACTGTTCGGTTATACTCTCTTCCTACGGGCGGGAGGAACCCGAAGGAGGCTACGCCGAAGGGCGGAGTCTCCTTCGGGGAGGTAAAACCGGCCCTGAACCCGTTTATACGGGTTCAATGGGCATATTTTTGGAAGAGCCTAATGGTTCGGAATGCCCACGTTAAAAAGGCATTGTGCCACATGACACCCTCGTGGGGGGGGTGACTGAATATCGTCATGTATCGAAAGATACATGATCGCCGAAGCGTGTATCACGCATGGCACCTAACTGACTGACCCTTGGGAAAGGTATGAATCCTCTTCTTCTCCCCCCCCCCCAGCTATGGGGGATTAGCGGGGCAGACCAGGTTCTATAGCCTTGGATCGCAACTGGTCTACCGCAAAAAGAAATGGCAACATACTGCAGGAAAACATCTTTCTCGTCAATCTTGTATCGAAAGATAAATGATCGCCTAAGCTTGTATCACGTATGGCACCTGACTGACTGGCTAATACAAGTACTACTAATTAACCTATAGCTGGAGGGAGAAGAGATGGATTCATACCTTTCCCAAGGGAATTTGCGCGTAAGTAAATAAATCGAACTTGACTGGATTTGGAAGTGGCTACTCAGATTAACAGTTCCGAGCCGTTATCCATTACATTATCAGCACATCCAAGCTCACAACACCTTTTATTCCCAAGAGGTTACCCATCTAGGTACTGACTAGGTTCGGCGTTGCTTATCTTCGGTGATTGTGCGAGAAGCGGTGTTTCAACATGATATGACCGCAAGCCAATTAAAACAGAAACTGCTCTCTATGTTTTGGTAAACCCCCCTACAGTAGAATGAACTCTTCCTCCTCTCATAAATACTAACTGCGTGAGTCGGTTGGGGGCGTAGACGCAGTCTCTGACTGTGTGCGATTTCTGCCGAACTCTCTGCTTTGGCAGAGAGGAACCCGGACGAAGCTATGCCGAAGGGCAAAGTTTCGTCCGGGGAGGTAGACAGACTCTGAACCCGTTTATACGGATTCTAAGAGAATATTTTTTGACTGATCCTACGGGTTCGGAGAACCCACGGTAAACTCGGCCTTGTGCCATATACAACCCTCGTGGGGTGGGGGGGTCTGTTAAATATAGCGTAGACGCAGTGTTAACCTCCCGTTCGGACGTAGACCTCTATCTGTTTATTACTAATATTCTTGCTTTGTATATATCTGTTATTTCAATACACTTGTTCAACCTACCTTCGTCTTCCATGTCTTTCTTTTAGGCCCCTAAACAGGCCACAGCACTACATTCCAGACTCATTGTGGATTATGGCCATATCACGGTTTCTGGTAGTATCACGGAAGTTAAGCAACGTTAAGCCTGGTCAATACCTATATGGTTGACCGCTTGGGAATACCTGATGATGTAAGTTTGTATGAGCGATTGGTGTATAGGATAATGGCTCAGAATTAGAAATCGGAGAACCGAGTTCCAATTCCAGTCGGGTTCGCTTTTTTTATATACGCCTAAATATCCTTGGGAAAGGTATGAATCCCTCTCTTTTCCCCTGAGTTTATTAGTAAGACTTATATTAGTAAACTGTTATTATCTCTAAAAAGTTCTTACAATGTAAAAATATTTTTCGACTTCCGGTGAGTTCCAATTCTAACTAGTTTCGTTAACATAAAAATACCCTGAGGAAAGGTATGGATCCACTACTCTCCACCCGCCACATCTATGGTGTCTACATCTTGGGAATAGAAGGTGTTGTAAGCTTGGATCTGCCAATGATGTAAAGGATAACGGTTCTGAATTGTTAATGGGAGAAGCGACTTCCAAATCCAGTTGGGTTCGTTTTATTTAATTACGCGTAAATTTCCTTGGGAGAGGTACGAATCCACCTCTTCTCCCTCCAGCTACGGGTTAAATAATAGAACTTCGATTGGTAAATAATTATAGTCTCTAAAATATTCTTAGAATCTAAAAATATTTTCTGTCTTTAAATAACCTAGACAGGGTTGACACGTCATAGAAAATGTAAGAATCAATCAATCTCTTTCCTCAGTCTCTCTCTCTCTCTCTCTCTCTCTCTCTCTCTCTATATATATATATATATATATATATATATATATATATATATATATATATATATTTTAGGCAGCAATTTTTCATTGATGCATGTTTCATTAAATAATATAGACAAGTTTTGTCTATTTATTTTTAGTAAGTTCCTTTCAAATTGTCTGATAAGCTTAAAAACATTATCATAAGTTATATATAAGTTCAATTCCTGCCGGAGGACGCATTTTTTCTATGAAAATTTCTCGGACATTCAGGCCGGTAAATGTCGTTAATAATGTTTATTATAAACAGAGCATTTACTTAAATATTTGTATCCATAAAAAGAACGTATAAACATAAAAAAATGTCTTAAAATAATTGTCGGACTTTGTCCATTTCACAATACACACACACACACACACACACACACACACACATATATATATATATATATATATTAGTGTGTCCTGAAAAATATTGTTGTCGTAAGCAAATAGCATAGTTATGGTATTAGCCGAAAATAAATAGTTTTTATTAATTTATCATCTATACTCACACATAGACATACACAGAGAACTGAACAAAAAGTATCATGACTTGTGCTATCAAATAAAACTATAACAGATATCAATTCGTTATTAATCTCCTTCGAAGTACTCTCCTTCTGAAGCCACAAAAAAATCCAGCAAAACTTATTGTAGAGGAGGATGGATGAACAATCTATGAATTAAATTCACTTGTTCTTATTTAATTTACGATTTATATTTACATATAGTTTTAGATATAAAATGATATATAGGTGTCAAGTGTTTTCTGAATTCAAAGACTTCCGTTGATTAGTGAGACTGACAAAAAGAGTGTAAACATCTGTGATTTCAAACCTTTTCTTTGACTCTGAGTTCAAATTGACAAATTAAGCAAGTGTCTAATAATTTTCAAGTCGCTCTGCGTTTGATGTACAATTGAACATTTAAATAAATCAGGTAGACAGCTGTTCATTGATTGGCTGGCTGGCTACAGCGACTTAAGATGGCGTCCCGGTTTTTCAATGTCTAACAAAATGGGTGAAAAGCGCCTATGAAAGCTGTAACTAATAACCAAAACGATTGAACATAAACAGATTTTGATGCTTTGTGAAAGAGAAAATAATTTGATAATCGGTATTAAAATATGGATGAATAGATTCAGATTGGAGTCCTAGGGCGAATTTCAACATAGAAAGAAAGAAAGGGAAAATTATTGGAAAGAAATCGACGAATTGTTGGTGGAAAATGAAGATTACAGGAATACATGAAGTCTCACATGCAAAACAGAGAATGAGTAGAGATGAAAGGAAAGAAAGAAAAAGTTATTGGGGAAAAATGAGGGAAATAAAGATGGTGTAAATGTTGAAAGGAGTAGGGAAAGTGAAAAAGAAGGAAAGGAAGATGGCAAACAAATGTAAATAGATAAACGGATGGAAATTAATTCAAGAGAAAGATGAAAAGTGAGAAAAGAAAGATGACGGATAAGAAAACAAATCGTTTAAAAAATTGGTCAAAGAAATTTATGGGAAATGTGAGAAAAAGAAGTCGAAATAAGGCGGAAGAAATCGAAATAAGTCGAAATAAGGCGGAAGATTAGAAAGTAATAAACATGAAATGTTGGCTAATCAAGAGGAAGTTGAGAAAAAGAGAAAATAAAGACGGTGGATAAGACAGTAAAAAAAAAGCAAGTGAAAAAGAAATCATAGTTAAATGTGAGGAATTACAAAAAAGAAGCCATGGACATAGAAAGTATAATTCCAGAGAAATGTTGCTAGAACCAAGGAAAAAATGATGGAGGATAAGAAAGAATGGGTTAAAAACAGGTAAGAAAGGGTGGTTATTTGAAATGTGGGGAATTCAAAATGTAGTAAGAAAGAAAAATACACGATGTAAGCGTAGGGAGGAATTAATATTTAAAGTATGTGAAAGTCAAGAGAAAAGGGAAAAAAAGATTTAAAAAGAGGGAAAGAACAATAAGGCTGAAATGTCCTCAGATATATTAGGACATCAGAAAGGTGAAAAAGAAACATGGTGGGGAGTAAGGAATATATTTAAAAACAGAAAAGAAAACTGAAACTTGGAAATTAAAACGAATGACGAGAAAGGACTAGAACTTAAATTAAAAAAAATAAGGAAGAGCGGAAAATAAAAAAAGCATACAAAATAAAAAAAAATCCTTTCTAATCTACAAATGGCAAAGCATATTACTCCGTCAAAATTATTCACCAGAATAAAGCTGTAGAATGGACTAGCTTAAAGAGAATTTCAACAAATATGCGTAGAATAGTCATAGCACTTCTTAAAGTATTAATTTTTCTCAACATTACAGAACGTCAACTATTAGTAACAGCGCATATTCATTTGGGTAGACATCTTTTGGAATAATGATTGATCTGAAAATCAGAGAAGGTGACCCCCATAATGATTGTGCACAATTAATTCCCACTCTATAACCTCTTATCTACAGACCAAACATCTCAAACATCTCTGAAGAATAATTGCAAGATCGAGATCCCCCGCCAAAAAAAAAACAGGGTCGTAATTCTAAAGGTCATCAATCTCGCAAGTTCAAAGTAAAAAATACCGGAAGCGTAAATCAGAAGGGGTAAAAGATCCATATCCACAATTATTTTTTTTTATTCTTTAACCGCAGCCAATGGGGTGACGTCACTAAGACAGAAGTTCACTAAGACAGAAAGTCACTAAGTGAGGTCACTATGACAGAAGGTCACTAAGTGAGGTCACTAAAACAGAAGGTCATTAAGTGAGGCCAATAAGACAGATGGTCATTAAGTAAGGTCACTGAGGTCACTTAGTGAGGTCACTAAGTGAGGTCACTAAGTGAGGTCACTAAAACAGGTCACTAAGTGAGGTCACTAAGTAAGGTCACTAAGACAAAAGGTCCCTAAGTGAGGTCACTAAGTAAGGTCACTAAGACAAAAGGTCCCTAAGTGAGGTCACTAAGTAAGGTCACTAAGACAGAAGGTCACAGTGAGGTCACTATTAAGGTCACTAAGAAGGTCCCTAAGTGAGGTCACTAAGTAAGGTCACTAAGACAGAAGGTCACTAAGTGAGGTCACTAAGTAAGGTCACTAAGACAGAAGGTCACTAAGTAAGGTCACTAAGTAAGGTCACTGACAGAAGGTCACTAAGTGAGGTCACTAAGTGAGGTCACTAAGACAGAAGGGTTCACTGGAAGTTAAGGAGAATAAGATTTTAAAAGGAACCGGAAACTTAACCACTAAAAAAAGGGATAAACCTCTCCTCCTGTTCAACAGACGGGAGAAGTAGGGTGAACCGGGCGATAGACTAACCTATCTACTTCTACTCCATTCCTGAAGGAAACCCCTTCCATATTCTGCTCGCTTTAACAAACTCCCTCGTCAACTGTTTTTCTTATTCTTAGATTTTTTTGCTTATTTTCCTCTAATCTTCTTCGGCTTACAGCCACATCATGTTGAAACACCGGTTCCCGCACTATCACCAAAGTTGAGCAACATCGAGCCTGGTTAATACCTAGATGGGGGACCGGGTGCTGTAAGCTTGGATGTGCTTGTGGTGTAATCAATAATGGCTCGGAATTGTTAATCGGAGAGCCGAGTTCTAATTCCCGTTGGACTCGTTATATTTTCTTACGCGCAAAATACTCTTCGGAAAAGCAATGAATCAACCCCTTCTCACCCCTCGAGTTGAAATGGTGTGTCTATATAATAAC